ACCCCTCCTCTCTCTCTCTCTCTCTCTCAATGTAATTAATGTTGTTTCTGTGAAGTATGGTACCAAACTATGTGATGAAAGACTCTGTTTCTTCAACCTCTGTTGGCTTGCCACAGTTGCAGCTCCACAGGAAGGTATGTGTTTGTAGTAGATACATTTACATTGTCTACTTCAGGGAGATAACATCTTGCAGGCTATATGTTTTCTGGAATTCTTTTGTAGCTACAGTGGTGTTCTTGTGATGCAAGTGGAGAAGGGTTCATCCATTTTTAAGTTTTGGGATTCATTAGATTCAAGATTCTCTCCTGTGATCAACCTGCGTTCTATCTTCACAAAAGGATGCAATCGCTTTCTTCTTCCTCGACCTAAAGCCACTTTTGTGGAAGTGACATTTTTGAGATTGAAAGAAGCTTTTCCTCATATTGATTGCCTCAATGATGGCCAAAATGATAGTACTCACCAGACATGATTTAGCCCACTCCAAATCAGATTCCTGTGAGCTTTAAATGCATATGGTACTCGACTGCATGGATCTGCAAACTAAGATCGTCTGGTGACTTGAGGCAATGCATCCTTCGTTTAGGGGGTTATCTTCACACATCTATAGTTTAGTAAGCTTCATACGAAGATGAACTCACAATTAAAGAACATGACATATTGCTTTGGATGGTTTTATAGTTCCACTAAAGAGACCCTACAATGATTTCATGAAGCTGCCTTTGTTGAAGAGAGTGATGCATGCACTGCATCTGTATAAGCACGCAAGATAAATATTCAAGTCAATGGTCCAAGGGAACCAATCTTGGGTCATCATTGCCACTTTAGGGTTTCAATCATCCCATCTCCTATTTTTTACTTCTCAATCCACCCCATCTTATCATTCCTAAACACATTTGAGATCTCTAAAGAACTTGCGTATAATAGTCTTGCATCATGGATGTCATCATTCTGTCTGGCTCATCTTGTGACCCAACAGTCGATCAAAATGAGCTTCTTCAAGTCTCAGCCACATGCCGATTAAATGTAATCTCGGCTTTTCAACTGATCTCTGAGTTCTTTGTTCTGAGATACTTTGAGATTTACAGGCACTTCGGTTGAAACATAAGGCAGTCACATTGTGAGATAAACAATTACTAGGGCTACAAGTGGTTCTCTCTCTCTCTCTCTCTCTCTCTCTCTCTCTCTATCTGTGTGTGTGTGTACTCATTTGAGGTGTAATATCAGTAACATAATGCATGGGATTCCTTGCGACTCCTGTGTGGACCAGAGAGCATATGCCCACAGGGGGAAGAAGATAAAGAAGGAAGAAGAAACAAACTGGATCTTTCTTGAGCTGCAATAAGCCCTTTGTATATGTGATTTGGCCTGTGCAGCAAGATCCACAGATTAAACAAAACACTGCCACCTCGTGACTCCCTGTACGGTGTTCTTTGCCGATTTGATCGAACTCATGTGCCCCGTGATGCACATACTGCAGTATAGAAACTTCACCTACATAATCTTATACCAACTCTCCAACTCACAGCAGCACATCGGATCGTATTCAATGCTGTAATCTGCTATAGGACACCGTGTTTACTGCTTGAATCAGTATAAAAAGGAGTTCAAACGGTGTTACCTCCATAAACAAAACAGTTAAGTTGATGAATCTAATCTAAGTGTCAGTTCTGGAACCTTATGAGGAGCATTGTCTAACCTTCATGTGGATCTGTGAGTCGGTGTGATGACCATCTTCTGCATGGTTCTAAATCTCAACATTTTAATGCAAAGACAGCACAAAATACAGAGAGTCACAGTGATTTTAACCTTTTTGTTGTTATATTATTGTGATATTAACAGGAAGAAGTCATATAATAAGCTGTGAAATGTATTTTTGGAGTTAGAACCTAACATGGGCTACGTGGTTCCTCCTGACACAAGTCCTGTGTCGTTGGCTCATAAACAAATCATTTAGTCACCACAGTCCCCACTTGGGCACACAAAGAGTCGTCTCCCCTGGATGTCATCTTCTCTCTCGCTTCCCTATTTAAATGCCACCTCTTGCCATTTCTTTCTCCCATAAGCTTGTCTCCGCCCTCTTCTTCCATCCCTGAACTCCATCATCTTCTCTTGTTCTTACATACTGTGTCTGGCCTCCCCGTAACAAGAACACCTTCACAAGCTTTCTTGGGTCGACCTGCATTGCATCAAGAGACGCATTCACCAGGAAGGATGTCGAGCAGGAGGTCTCGGTCAAGGCAGATGAGCTCGTCGAGGATCACCGACGAGCAGATCAATGATCTGCTGACGAAGTTGCAAGCTGTGCTCCCCGAGGCCCACCTTCGCAGCACCGACAGGGTAACACTCGCGCTTCTCCATGCTCATTGCCATAAGTAACACTTAGACACAGTTGATCTAGAGGTGACGAACTAGGGTTTTGGATCGATGGTGCAGGTGTCAGCAGCCAAAGTCCTGCAGGATACCTGCAACTACATCCGGAGCTTGCACCGGGAGGTGGACGACCTGAGCGAGAGGCTCTCCGAGTTGCTTGCCAACAACGACATTAACAGTGCTCAAGCCGCGATCATCAGGAGCCTGCTTAGGTGATAGCTTAATCTTAGAATGGCCTTCTCAGAACAAGCTGGATGTCATGGAACTCTGATGCCAAAGTGCTCTAGAATAAAGCTGGAAGTAAACGATAGAAGGCTGCCTTTCCTGGTCTTTGATGCTGTAAACCTGTGCTTCATCTTATTGTATCTACGATCTAAATTTTGCATTAAATGCCAAGAGTGTTACTAGTGTTATCAGTCTTTGACATTGAATCTTCTTCCTTGGAATTCCCTATCTAAATTTTTTTGCTGATTTAAGTCCTTGGAGGACCAAAAAGAAGTCCATGGCACGGTGTTTCTGCTATCTCGGAATTGCTCTAAAAAAAGGGAAATGCAAAAAAGGGTGTGCTGTGTTCTTTTGATGTTAGTGGGGGGTTAGTTTCGAGAGAATAATCTAACACTAGTTTCCACATACCAAAGTTGCTTTTCCTCTCTTCAAGATGAAGATAAAGTTACGTCTCTTATTTCTGGATAATTTTGTTTATATCTCATCAGCTTATGTGGTTTCACAGTTGTTGTTGGAAACTAAGTTGTTAGTAAAATTCAAGGCAAAAAAAAAATAAAAAACCATTAATATTCTTTTAGGAGTTGAAAAGGTATAAAATAATATTATCTATATTTCATATCTTGGAGGTTAACTCCATGTATTTTATTTTAAATTTGTAAATATATATTTTAAACTTAAATTTAGAGAGATAAATATGAAAATAATTGAACATATATATATATATATAATTAATTTTGCTTGATAAATAATCATTAATTGGGTGGTGGCAGAACAACATTTCCTTCCCACAGTCGGAGGCGGTGGTATATAGTCTGCAGTCTACTCTCGTTCATGGAACGGACGCAGCACCACCAAAGTGGGTTGTCTTCGTCAACCAGTGGTTGACCTGTGAACGAGACCTGGGGCCTAGAGTTCCTACACCGAGCACCTCCAGGGTGTACAGACATGGCCAAACTCATTCTCAGAGCCTTTCCGTTCACCAAACATTCATTCTCCCATTACTGCCAGCAACCTGGAAGCGCAGCACCAAGAAGTAGCAAGATCGTGGAAGGTAGGACATACAAGTGGAACGTGACCCTGAGAGGTCTCTTGGAGGGGAATGTCCCAGCGAAAGCAATCCTCGCTTATGCCCTCATGAGGAGGAGAGGTGTGAAGGTAGATAGCTTCACCCTTCTGTTTGTTGTCAAGGCCTGTTGCCTCATCATTCATGACGTCGTCGTGGGCAAACAAGTGCACGCTCAGGTCGCCAAGCTGGGCTTCCAAGCAGAGGTAGTTACCCAGACCGCCCTCCTCAAGATGTATGGCATGTTTGGAGACCTCGATGCTGCCGAAAAAGTGTTTGATGAAACTCCTCAAAGAGATCTTGTCCAATGGCATGCGCTCCTTGCTGCGTACTCCCAGAGGAATCGACCCTGCAGTACAATGAAAACCGCGCAGCGAATGGTAAACGAGAGTGTTATGCCGAACGAAGTCGGTTTTGTCAGTATCATCTCGGCTTGTTCGCAGAGGAAGGCTTTACCAGAGGGAAAGCGGTGGCACGGCTACGCGATCAAAAACCTTGCAGTGCTCGACACTTTCGTTCACAATGTGCTGATCGACATGTACGCGGCCTGTGGATGCCTGTCGGATGCTTACAACGTCTTCAAGAATCTGAGGAACAAGAATACTGTTTCATGGACTTCGATGATCAATGCCTATGGCGACAATGACCACCCGAATGAGGCACTGGATCTGTTCGAGGAAATGGAAGCGGTAGGAGAAAGACCTGACGAAGTAATGATGTTGGCAGTGGTTTCTATCTGCACCAAGTTAGGGAGGTCTGACATAGGAGAGTGGATCCATGAGTACGTCGAGAGGTGCGGGTTTGGGGAAAGCGTACGCGTCGCCAATGCTCTCATCGATATGCACAGCAAATGCGGGAACATGGAGAAGGCATGCAGCACGTTCGACAGGATGACGAGGAGGACTCTGGTAACGTGGACCGCAATGATACAAGGCCTGGCGATGCACGGGCACGGTCGGGCCGCGCTGACGCGGTTCTCTCAGATGCAGAGGGAAGGCTTTCGGCTGGACGAGGTGGTGGTTTTAATCATGATCAACGCATGCAGCCACGCAGGGCTGGTGGAAGAGGGGAAGCATTTCTTCAGGTCCATGGCAGAGGAGCATGGGATGGAGCCTTGGATGGAGCACTACGGGAGCATGGTGGATCTGCTGTGCAGAGCAGGGCTGGTGAACGAGGCGCTCGACTTCGTCATGAGCATGCCCCTGAAACCAGACGCTGTCATCTGGCGCACCCTGGTTGCTGCATGCAGAAACCAGGGAAACATGAATCTGGCAGCAGAGGTTTTGGATTGCATGATGGAGATGGAACCTGAGGACAGTGGAAATTACGTTCTGAAGTCAAATTTGCATGCGATGATTGGGGATTGGGACAGTGTTCAGGAAGTGAGGAGTAGCATGAGCTGCAAGAAGGTGGCCAAGACACAGCCTGCTCATAGCTACGTTCAACCAACCCACCATGTCCATGTAGAAGAGGTGATGCAAAACATAGACGAAGATGAGAGGCGGTCGTCCTGACCCCTTCTCTGACCGATCGTCATCCTGGGGGGTATTCGAACAAATATGCAACATTGAAGGGGATTTATTGCATAAGAAGCAATATCACGGCCACGGGGGGCTTATTTGCAAAAGCGGACGGAAACGGGGGGTGTTCAGGAAATAATGGCATAAGCCGTGCCTCTTAAACCTTGCACGGAGGGAGGAGGAGGACCAGGGCGGCGGAGGCGATCCGGAGACACCTTGATGGCGAGTGTGGACGGGCGTGATCTCGTGTCGGAACTCCAAGCTCAGGTTCTCGCTCTCCGCCACCGGGTGGAGGTAAAACCCTAACGAAGATAATCATGTCCATCCCGCTTCCATCTGTCACCTGGTGTTACGGTGATGCTAAAGTCTTGATCTTTCGTGTTCTTCGCCTTACTTGATCGGGTTTCTGGTTGAATACCCAAGGAATTGGAGAAGGAGAATGAGCGCTTGTGTTCCCAGTTATCAAGATGCCGGTGCTCCAAGGTATGCTGCTGTAAAATTGTGGCGGAAGTTCTCCTTTGAATGAACAGTTTAGGAACCGCGAACTCTTTGGACTCTTTGTTTTGCTTGTTGTGGATATGGTCAAAATTTGTCGGTTTTATTCAAAGGATTTGTCGGTTATATTCCACAGGAATGGATAAACCTTTCTTCTAGCTTGATGATTATAAGTCGTGCCACACATTCATATTAAATGCTTAAAGCCTCTTGAAGCTATGTACTTGTTTCATGAGATGTATTTGGAGAGACTATTGCATTAATATTACTTTAGAACTTAAAAGTTTATAATACAACTTCCAAACAGTTGAGAATCAATGATTATTGATTGATTTTGTTCCAAATGTTTGTTGCTTGTGATAAAGCAATGACAAAGCTTGACAAAGATTGATCCACTTATATGCTTAAAACACAACTGGACATCTATTTCTGACCATTTAACAACTTCTTCAAGAAACTCAGTTGAGGTAGATTGCAGCCACAAATCACCAAATTTATAGACCTTTCTGCCTCATGTAAGTTCTGATATATACAATAAGCTGCCTGCAGGATGGAAATATACCAAGTGCAGGGTTATTTGTGGAGAACAGCTCACCAACGAACTGTGAACCAAGAGAGAAACCAGGTTATGAGATAGTGAAACCTGTTTTCTGTTTGTCGCATGTAAAAATCGTTGCATATTTTGAACTAGTCATGGAGTATGATTTTTTCTGTGTGCAAAGTTGAATAGTCCATCAACATTTATATTTGGAAATGTCAAGCATATATTTCTGTGTGGCATTTTGAAGTTTCAACCCCCTGATCAGGGTTGTGGGTGGGCGAGAGAGATTTTCTGAATAAAGTAGGTGCTACTCTGGATTAAGAAATTATCAGCTAGCTAGCAACACTGGTCAGAATTAGTTTTATTATTTTTTAAACTATAGTTTAATTGAACTTGCAGAATTTAGATTTGGTGTATATTTATTATCTTATTTTGTGAGAGTTTTGGTGTAATTGGTCTTTTCCTTGCTTTTTATGGCTTCTTGTACTTACAGTGGTAACTTGAGAAAATAATACTTTAGGTGTCGTTCTATTTGCGCTTTGACAATTTCTAACTACTGTAGGGTTTCTACCCCAGATTGGTGAGGTACTCTTCAACAGTCTTCCGAGAAGGAAGTAGAACTGTTAGGGGAAAGAAATGTCTTTCTCTGTGGTTACCATGCTACCAAGTAATGTGAATTGCGATAACTATTTTGCTTAGCTTAATGTTGGGTGCTTTAAGTCACAAACCAGACGGGTAATTGTATATATGTTATTTCATCACTTGTTATTTTCAAGTCATCCTCTGATCTTGTCCACCATTATGATGTTATGGTTTTCTCATTGATACCGAAAACACAAACAAAAAGTAACCTCAGTTGCTCTTTGCTGATTCTTTATCATGACCTGCTCATGAGGTTTCAAGTGGTCGAGTGAGATATTTCATACAAAGCAAAAGTTAGTTTCTGTTACTTTCAATTTGGCCATGTGATGTGATACTCTGTGCCAGAAATAATGTTTATGAAAATGAGCAAAACTAAAATGTCACTTTATACACAAACTGTTGCATTCTTCTCCAAATTTCTCTGTGTTCCCTTGTTCTTTTCATAAAAAAAGTATTTGCCAGACATTGTTGAAGGTTGGCTTGTGAGTACAGTAATAAACAAATGTTCTTATTGTCAACAAGATGCTTTAGTCCAAAACTGAAAAACTGATATCTAGGATGGTTTGGCATACAGGTTGCCAGGAGAGGAGTCAGCAACGTGCAGGGAGATACGTTGCTTTGAAAATCATGTACTTTGGCCAGAGGTTGTGATCTATTTGTCCTTTTTTAAATATAGTCAAATTTCTGAATCTGTTCTACAACCCAAATGCATCTAAATATTGAAGTCAGTATCTTTAAGGTCCACAGCATTCTAGTGCATCATTTAGCTTGATTGGAAATTTGACAATCTAGTGTTAAGTTTCTTCTGTTTTAAAACATATCATAGAAATGCATCTGAATACATAATTCTTGGTTTATTTTCTCCAAGAATCCTGGGGTTTTGACTTTAGAAAAAACCTGAGGATTCGTAGAAGCAGACAGTTTGCCTGTTTTTTCATAGATAATTGCGACTAATTATTTTATCACATCTATTTTAAAATTAATGTATATATGTAGATTATGTTCTATAAAAAGAATTTTCTAATCTGATCAGAGCTCTTTAACAAAACCCCTATGTCAGGCATTTTATGACTTACCTCTATCATTGTTATGTTGTGAGTATTCTTCACTTCGTTGTTTCCTTCTTTTTTATATTTAGTCAATACTACCTTGTGCACTGGGCCACCTTTTCTACTTATACATTAGAAAAATCAGCCACCATAATGGCTTCCTTGATGTATCAATGTGATCAAAATGTTTCTCTGAAGACATTCTATTGGACAGATACTCATCTGATGTCACAGGCTTCTCCTGTACTTGGATCAAGATGCTAATTGTACTTGTCATGACTAAAGTGGCTCAGCTGTTATTCTGATAATGTAGCGCACCCTTTGGGATTCTGTACCTAATCACATTTGTTTTAATTGAAAATTTAGTCATTAAATTATCAACCCCTAATGTTTAATAGACACATCAAATAATTCTCATTATACTTTTCTGTAGGTTTTATGGTTTTGCCTCTGAGGCTCAGATGGATCCAACTATTGAGGTTGATCCTTTCTACTTTATCTTCTATCTTAAAAGGTGGGGGTTTCTGGGCTCTCAGTTTCCTCGTTTTTGCAGTCTGAAATTTTCAAAGCGCTAGAGAGGACAAAGCTTTTAATTGGCACTAAAGAGGATTCAATATACTCGAGATGTGGCAGAACTGACAAGGGAGTTTCATCTACTGGCCAAGTACATCTAATTTGATATTTTCTTGATTTACATGCTTTATAACTTGTCTTCTCAAACTTCCAGAAAACTTACTGCTAAATAATATGTTTTTGTTCCTCTTACCCAATTTATTTATTGTAAGTTTAAGGCTTTGAGTATATGCTAGCTATAAACAGTCTAAATTGGTGAATTGAACTTGAAAGTGGAAGTCCCTGGTGTAGGTAATTTCTTTATATTTAAGATCAAACCTCAAGGACACTGGAGGGTATACCAAGAACCACACCACCACCTTGGAAGTAAGAGGTGGTATGTTTCTACTAGTAGTTGTATGGGCTCATCTTGAATCAGTTATTTGCTGAATGTGAATATGTTTATATTTTAAGCAATTTGTGTTACTGTATATATAATTACATGGAAAGAAGTATGCTTATTTGCTCATCTGTTGCAGTTTAGTCAATGTAAAAAAGTAAATGAGCTTTTTACTACTTAATCGTTGTTTTTTTTTTCTGTGTTAAGTTGAGTTACCTATGGAAACATTTATGTCATTGTTTCTTCTGCTTCATCTTCAGAAATTGATTATGTAAGGGTGTTGAATAAAGTTCTCCCGGGGGATATACGAGTGATAGGCTGGTGTCCTGTTCCAACAGATTTTCACTCAAGGTTTTTGTGTTATTCTTATTCCAGCTTTATGCTTTTCTAGCATTTCCGACCATAAGTTAATAAATTTGTTACTTGCTTTACATCTCATGTTGATGTTCTCCTTAATCATGACATAATCATTTAAGGTGTTAGACAAGGCAGATAACGTGCTAATAATAACATTTATAAAACTCGTGCTTAATGAGATAAGTCTTTTTCCATCTATAATGGAGATCACAGAATCACTGATACACAATAAATTCTGTCTACATATATGAGACTTGAGTTCTTGAGATGACATTTGCAAAATTTCAGAATCTGTATCGAGATTACAGGTATAAGGAGTGTAACCTTGATATTGATTTACCTGAGGTCGCTGCCAGGTCGCCTCTAGCCTATGTTGTAGCATATGATCTAGATTTTATGGTTTCACATTCAAACTGATTTAGTATGTTTTTTACCAGCTTGTAGGTGAATGCTTTTCAATAATATCTAGCTCGCTACTGATCAGTTCAGCATAAGCAACCTTGGACAGTCGGATATTTACATACAATATCTGCTCGATGTTGCAGGTTCAGCTGTCTCAGCAGGGAATATAGATACCTTTTCTGGAAAGGAAATTTGGATGTATCGGTAAATTTCTACCACTTCTATACTAACTTTGTTTTGTACTTGTGTTCTACCCATTCCTAGCAATAATCAACGAAGTCCATCTGTAATTTTTCACCAGGCAATGCAGCAAGCTGCTATGAAGTTCATTGGGGAATATGACTTCAGAAATTTCTGTAAGATGGATGCAGCAAATGTGAATAACTATAGGCGACGAATCACATTCTTTGATATCTCTTCTTTAGATAGGAGGTAAGACAAAGCTTTTAAATGCCTTTCCAATATCAGTTTTGACAACCGATCAAATGGTTGTATAAGTATACATGGGCAGTTTACCGACCTATACGGCATGTTAGCATAAAAAAGAATAATAAAAATATTAAGTACTAATTGGTAACTACCTATATGGTAATGTACCAAGCATTGGGTGGATCGGCAAATACCAGTTGATATAAACTGGTCTGACTAGTATGTTATTCTTGGGTAGTATTATTTATTCTTGTCATAAATAATAAAGGGGATTCTGAGGCAACTAATGTTCATATTAAAAGATTATCGGTGAAAAAAAGTAACAGTAAATGTGTTTTCCTTGTAATCTCCTTATTTTGGCAATTTAAAAACTTTTTTTCACTGTCGTTCATTTGCTCTATCCATTTGCTTGCTCTTAATCAGGAACACCTTATGCATAATTCATCAGAAAAAAATGTTATAAAGACAGTGTGATAACGTCAGTACTTAAATATGGTTTTGTAACATTTAAATTATATTCCTTCTAAAATTTTGCATGTTCTGGAGTATATTACTAGTTCTCATTTTGCATGGGAATTTGTCACACTTGAAAATCTTTTGCTTCTTGTTAAGATTCTTTCAGTAAAACTGTAGAAATGTATTCAACATGTGGTTGCAAGGTTGCACATAATGCTAAACCATTTCCCTTCTGTACAGGTCCATTGATGTTGATGAACTATGGGCAGTGACAATCAAGGGTAGTGCATTTTTGTGGCATCAAGTCCGGTGCATGGTTGCAGTGTTATTTATGGTTGGTCATGGTTTTGAGTCACCTGACGTGAGTACATATAATCATATTCGAATTCACTACCTCTCAGAGTCCATCTGATCATTTGGAGCATGATTTGGTGCTAAGTTACATGTTAGCTTCTTAGCTTCTTATGTTTGTTAGTCCTAGATAGATTGATGTGGTTTTCCACTGCCACTTTACTGTGGCTTTTATGGTTATGGTCTTTGATTTTTGACAACCGGGATATATGGCAACAAAGCTTAAATGGAAAAGTCCTTTTCTGTAGGAATATTTATCAATTTGTCAAAGTCGAATAAGCTGTTACATAGCTTTTTCTTTCTTTCTGATATTTTATTATTTGCAATTGAATTTTTTTAATTTTTGCAGTTTGTACTTTATTTTGCTAATATTCTCATTGGAAGGGTTGATTTTGATATAGGTTATTGATGTACTACTGGATACCAAGAAGACCCCTAGAAAACCTCAATACAACATGGCCCCAGAGCTTCCCTTGATATTGCGGTTTTGTGAATTTGAAGATCTTGAATTTATTTGTTCATCAGGTATTCAAGCAGCATCTAGATCTTAAATGCTAAACCAGTGCAGTTTATCTTGCCATCTCTGTAATTCACATTAGAAGGGTACTTTTATGTTATAATGCATATATGTGGACAGATTAACTTGTTTCTGAATCATTCTCACATGAAACTGACACTACCTATCTGAAATGTTTTTAAACTTTTAATTTGAATTGACAGCAAAAGCTGGTTCTTGTTGAATTAATCAATTGATTGCATAGAACTGATTGACTTCTTGAATATTAGTTGATTGATATAGATTTTGTATAGAGGCCAGGCGAACTTTGCATGAACACTTGAAGAATGAAGTCCAAAGACACATGCTTCAGGCAGCCATCTTCAATGAGGCCCTAAGCTGTTTATCGACTGCTGGTGGGCATGAATTTTCATTGTATTCTGGCCAAATTTTTACATGCGCCTTCGGGAAGGAAGAATCTGCAGGACAAAGTTCAGAATTTTCGAGGAAGAAGAAATGTCACATTCCTCTGCTGCGCCGTGCAACCGAGCGTAAGTTCAATTGATTCAAGTCATAGTGTTTGATGTAGTGAGCTAAAGTCTGTTGATCTCTTTGACATTGCTTTATTTTACTATACATGGACTCAGACTGTTCCTCAGCTCATCTCATCATCTGTGGTATAGATATCTGCTTCAGGGTTGCCACTGTACTTAGAATCAATTAGTTCAGCTAGGGACAACAAACACTACTTTATGCATTTAGTAGGTATTTTTATAGATGTATTTTGGGTAATGGTATTGATCATCATATAACTGTGACAGATTTAATTTTATAGGGTATTTCTTTATGTTGGTTGCAGCCTCATACGATGAACGACGTGCCAAGTTGGACATGAAAGCTAGTCGTAAGAGCTGAATGAGGCAGTCTGTAAGTTGGCTCTCTTCTACATCGTAAATTATGGTCCGCATTCTTTGATTTGATCCTCTTGCCTCAGGTTGCGTTTCAGTGGAAATGTGGCAGTGTTGACTTGATCGCATGGGGGAGCTTGCTTCAAGTTTTGGAAGAACCAGCCAAGCTTGTACAACGAGAAAGATGTTTTAGCTGTATCGAACAATCTGATTAGAACACTTAAGAAATGGAACATGAGAGCTTATTCATTGAGAAAGATGTTTTTGCTATATCTAATGATCTCATCCAAATGCCACAAGTAAACGCTTAACATGCATTTATCACTGAAGTAACTGTCTTCACAGAACAAGTACCAAAGCCCACATCTCAGCTTCAAGATTTAGTGTGGTTTATTACATTAGATGCTCAGCTTCAAGATTTTGGCATTACAGATCCTTACAGCTGATGTCTATAATCTGATTCATCAAGATCAACCCAGCCATCTTTTTAGGGTTTCTGCAGATGATGGGCAATACAACAGCTTGGGAATTTTGGGTTGCAATCTGCTTGGAAAGGAGAGTTTTACATGTAATTTCTGGCCCTTGATGGCTTTTAGCTCTTCAGCATGAAACTATCAAGAACCTGTAAACACAAACCAAAAGCCTTGTGAGCACATTACAGTAACGGTTGAATTAAAAGTATCAAACAAATGTCTTAAAATTGATGTGATTTGATTATTGTCTTTTTGTTTGACAAGGAGAAGAATCAGATGCTGAACCACATGATCATCTCAGGTGCAAGCAAAAGCTACTAGAATTTATTCCACTGTTTACTTCGACTGTCCACCTTGATGGCAATAGCAGAAACGACTATCATTGACTATCCAGTAGATGCAATCAAGAAGTAAAAGGCCATCAGTGAACCAAACGCACATTATGGCAGGGAATTAAACAAACTGGCTCTGATATAGCTGCATCACAATCTGCAGAATGGCAAGTGCTACTTAAAAACAATCCTCGCACATCCGAAAATATGATTAAGAAAGTGAGCCATGAATCAGAACTGCCACAACTTACAATAAAAAAGTTAACCTTCAAGTATTTTTGAGTCGTAAAACTCATACCCAATTGGGGATTCTTATACTTGGATGAAGATGTTTTGTTTTTCGGTCTGTAAGACCAATTTACATTCATTTGCTAATGATTGGTTTGGAGAAAATATAAGAACTTGTTCTGTTGTCTGCAAGAGCAGCTAAAAAGATTGATGCAAGTATGATAGAGATCTCCATTTTCTGGGAAAAAGGCTTAACTTGTCCTTGATCATAGTGTTGTTTTCCTACAAATCTGATCCAATAAATTTCCAGAATCCTCTTCTGATTAACTACAACCTAAAAAAAGCATCAAGAAGTAGAGTGAGATACTAATTTCTTAGGTTCTCTCAAGCAACCGAGCAGATCTTTTGTTGAAAACCCCATCAAAGAAACTATCCTCGTTGCGATGGCTTCAATAGTTATGATGAGTCTTTCCATTGCATCAACCAAGATTTTTTTTCCCTTGATCACCAACTTTTGAATTTATAAAACACCAGTTCTCCAATAAAATATATATTCCTTTTAACGGTAAGACTAAGATTCCTTTCAGCCAGTGAATGACAATATGATACTCTAAATATAAGACGAAATCAAACAGAGTGGCTAATGCATGTTCCCCTTGTAATTTGCATAATGACAAGTCCACTGATAGAATACAATTGGATGAAATAAGATTTTTTTTTTTATGTTCAATATCTATTTAATTTGATAAATTACTGGTACTCCATGAAAGATTGTTTGTGGTTCTTCCTAATTCAAACACTCCATATCAATCAGTGAGCAACAATATGATTATGTATCAAATAGGAAATTAAGCACCCTTGTTGTAACACAGCCACGATGCAATCTGTGTCAAGTCCTACAATAAAACATCAACAACATATTCAAGAAAAGAACTCTCATTTAAAATTGATCAACCAGTGCAGAATGGTAATATCTTGTGTGAAGAACATACTGGTCTTGTAATCAAGATTATATTGCTATGCAGCAGAGTTGGAGAAAGAGAAAAACACAGCTATTCCAATGGTCATGAACTGAAAGGGATCATACTCACATATCAAAGGTTGCATCTTTTGCAGTGTCACAACTCCAAGGCGATGCAATGAGCAATAGATGATCCCTTTGGGGCATCCAAGACCACAGGCTCCTGCCACAGTAGTGATCCCTGCAATTTGCCATCTGTAGTCTTCGAGACTTCGATTCCAGCCCACTCAATCACCATCTCCTTGTTTCCACTAGCCAAGTCCTTCCCTTCCCACACCAAGCACAGCAATCCTCCCAGGTTCGCTAATGTCGCCCCGCACAGGAACTTGGGCAGCTCCTTCTCCATCCCCTCGACCTGCTTCCACTCGTTGGATTCCAGGTCATAACCCCTTATCTTCCCCAGGAAATCATAGGAGTAGAGTATCCCTCCCACCGCCGCGGCCCTCCCCCTCCACCCGTTGTCGAGCACTGGTGGCACAGGACCCCACCTGGCCTCCCCGGCCGGCGCCACCGGGTCGTACACAACTCCTCCCCGATCCGCCACCGCGAGGATCCTGCCCCCGAGGACGGCGCACCCGTGCATCCACTTCTCTCGGATGAGCGGTGGGCTGGGGACGACGGCCCATCCCCCTCCAGTGGGGCCGATGGCAGGGTCTAGGGACTCGGCCCAGGCGTCGGCCGGGGGAAGGCAGCCGCCAATGGCGTAGATGCGGCCACCGAGCACGGCAGCGGCGGCAAATTCGCGGGCGGCCGACATGCGGGGAACGAGGGACCAGCGGCGGAGGCGGGCGTCGAGCACCTGGACTGCAGGGGAGGGGACGCCAGCAACGGAGCCGCCGAGGAGGAAGAGTGCGGGGCCGAGGGCGGCGCAGGCCGATCCGATAGCGGGGAGGGGCGGCGGCGGGAGGCGGAGTGGGGGCGGCGACTTCTTCCCGCTCCGGCGGAGGAGGGGGTCGAGGAGGAACCAGGGGGCTTGGTCGGTGGGGGAGCGGAGATTGAGAGCGAGAACGGGGGGGTCAGTGACGGCAAGGTGGGACCGGACGGCCGAGAGGAGCGGGGAGCGGAGGAGGGAGCGCCAGGATCGCGAGACGAGGGCGAGGGCCGGGTGGTGGGATCGGGGAACCCGCGCGATGCACCGCACCGCGATGTCGTCCGGGAGGTCGGGGATGAAGCCCCCGGCGGCGGAAGCAGCGGCGGAGACATCCGAGGGGTCCGTCATGCTCACCCGGCGGACGGGAGCAGTCGGAGGTCCGGGACGAGAGGAACGGATCGGAATCTAACTCGAGCTGTGTTAGGTGTCGGGGAGGACGATGATGATGGGGGGTTAGGTTAGGGTGTGGGAGTCGCCCGAATTGTAACGCTTCGAGGCACGAGTCACCCAGGCAACGCGTACTCAAACTTCCATCTCCTTCTCGGAGAAACGACAGCGAGTAAAATGTGGCCCTCACCTTTATCCACCAACGGGAGAAGAACTTCCGGTGTTTGCTAGCTCGATGAACGAGACCATGCCAGACAAACGACTTATGTTACGACTCTAGTAACTATCGCAGAAGGTGTCTTTTGGTATTTACCTGGACTTAGTAATTCTATTATGCATCTTATTGGGAGAATATTATTGATGAATTATTATTTAATAAATATTATTCGTGTGACATTAAGTTAAAAAAAGAAGATAAAAATTATTTCTTATTGATCTAACCATATAGACATGGATTCAAGATATCCAATTATAGAATGTCTTTGCTCTTATTAAGTACCGTGAAAAAGTGATTAAATTAAGATTATTAAAAATGGTTAAAAGTTATCATATGAAAAATATTTCACCTAATATATCATCTCTTCACTATCAAATATAAAAGTTTACTTTTAACATAGTTAAAAAATTATCTATGATCGCACACATTTATCTTAGGTTATTAATTTAAATATTGGAGGGATCAACTCGAGAAACCTTTCTCGACCTCGATATTCATGTGGTATCTCAAACAATCCTATGCACATAAGTTTGAATCACGTTGGATTAATGCAAATGTCAATAACATATTCCTGTAATATTTTTGTCATTATGAGGATTTGATGTCACAAGAATGCTTGTTTTACAATCATCTTAATGAATGCTCGAGCGAAGAGGCTTTGTCTCCAATATACAATGCTTTCATCCAAGGAGAGCAACTACCACTCTTTTTGCATATTATTCATCAACTTCAATGCAAACTCCAATGTGATATTGATGCTTATTCAATAACCCGAGTGTCTTATCCCTAGGGACAGCCTCGAGCTACGTCATCATCCTTGCCAATAAATTTTAAAACCTCACTCAACAAATATAAATGCTAATAGGTTGATACAAGTTGTTACTCTACTTTTGCCCTAACTGGTCTAATAAGCGATGTCACCAACTTAATCGCAATCCCTAACTCCACCGTCATGGCACCAATCGAAATTTCCCGACCCGAAGTGGGCGCCGACATCTCAAAAACATCCGAGTCCTATTGAACCACGGACCAAGGGGGCACTCCGATCCATAATCATGGAATTCAGTGGATCATATCACCCTCACTCTACCCCACTTGAATCCAAGACCTAATTAATGGACTCGATGGAGGATTTTATATGAATCCAATTATAATAGGAAGTTTGACATTTGGAGGAGATGCGATGAGAGTTCCAACAATAAAAAAGAGAGGCATTGGTTGATCCCACATCAGGTCGATTGTCATTTACCCAGAAAATTCAAAAGGGATTAATTCTAGTGAATTTTCATCTTCCATCCTTGCAAGTGTTTGATGATAGTATTGACCCGATGGAATATATTGTAACGTTCTGGAGATTGTCGATCGTAGGGGTTGGGTCTCCTTAAGACTCTACTTAGACAATAAGTAATAGGCTTCTCCTCTCTCTCTTTCTTTTTAGCCCCTCTACTTTGTTATGAAGATTATCTATTATAAGAAATTACTAATTAATAACAGAGCCAATGTCCCATATGTAGTCGAGAATGGTTATGACATGATGATGATGTTACAAGTTAAAGACAAAAGGGTTAGCAATGATATAATAACAAGATATTAAATGGGTTAGCCATGACTTGGCTTACTAATAATTCATTATGATAGTTTGTGTCAAGTAAAACCTTTAAGAAGAAATGATAAATTTGCTTTGCTATTTTAGAGCACAAAGACCCTTGGTAGTATTGCTCTAGGATGCCAATGTTGCTCCATATTTTTTGTGATTCTTGTTGGCCCTTCCATTTTAGCTGTAGTGGTGCATCTAGAGTTGAGTTTGACAAGTTGACTATCTTCGAAGCTATGAAGGACAAGGACCTGCCCTTACATAGGTCAAAAAATAACCTTTATCTCGCTCCTCTTCTTGCTAAGGAAGATCTTGAGCTTTGGGAGCCATTTGAAAATGTTGGTACTTCGAGGGTAGGAGATCCTTTATTCAGTTCCTCTTTAGAAATATACTCTACATAGGGTTCCTCAGCCCATAAAAAATGGGACACCTTCTTCATGACCTTCTTCTTCATTAGCTGATTTGACCTTCTTCTTCATTAGCTGATTGGTGATAAAAGGATGGTCAGATCGAGTCGAGGGTGACATCTCATGTGGCGAATTACGAACGGATAGGGGAGGAGCCAAAGAAGCCACCATTGTACTCGAAGAGAAACTAGCTTCCCTTCTCCTTAATGCTCGAAGATTCAAACCTACATGAGATTGAAGTCATGAGGTTGCATAAGTTAATTTCTCAAAGTGCAAAAAGAAGTGAGAATGGGGGATGAGGTGCAAAAAGATCCATACCCTAAGAAGTTGAGTTGAGATTCACATCAATCAACAATTTCTCATCTATTTTCCTAACTACCTTAGAAGAAGAGAGTATATCTTTTAACCCAAGCACTTGATCTATCTCTTAATCCGACAAAAAGGAAAGTTTGTTGTTTATAAAATGTGCAGACCAAGTGAGACTGAACCCCTAATCCCAACCTATACTTACAAGGAAAAAGTATTTTTTCCAACCCTTATTCTTGGAAGGGGCACTACTAACTTTGAAACTCTTCTAAGTAGCCAAGTAGTAGTCATTTTTTACCTTACATAATCGAAAGCAAGCTTATGGATAATAATACAAATATGATAGCACTCCCTAATAAACATTATCAAATAGTACCATAATTTGGGCATCATCTGTAGTGGTAATATTTTCCACTATTGGAGGCAAAGCATAATCACTAGGTGGAGGGAAAAGCAAAATCCTACCTCTAAAGTGTTAGAAGATAAATAAAAGATCATAAACATTAGGTCATATGGATAATAATTAGATCAAGGGACTTGCACCTAGAACCTAATTGAGATTAAGTACATAGTCTACAAGTGATCCAGGAGTCATGTGTTTATCATTAAATCTCTATCATATATGTTTTTCATAAACTTTAAATCCCAAACAATCTTCGAATTCACTAAGACTGACTATCCCAATGAAGGAGAGGTCAAAACTTCTTCTGCCCTTAGGTTGTCGAGGATGAAGTGCCAATCTTCTTGGGCATTTGACGATCATGAGATTGAGAGGAGCCTGTGCGAGAAAGAAAATGTATTCTGATTCTGCAAAGGCAAAAGAAAGGTTTGGAAGGTTGAGATATTAAAGAACTAACATATTTTGATGATAAGATACCCAAGAACCCACCCACATTTAAAAAATAAACCAAAGATCAACTCATATTGAAGAAAAGAATCAAAACTAAAAAGAAAAAGCTCATAAAGGAGACTACAAAAGGCTCAAATAAGAGAATGAGCCTTATCCCCATGACCGAAGGAGATTAATATGGAGGAAATCAATCTATCTCCTCTTATTTTAAAGAAAGTGTTCCTTCAGGATGAATTTGAAGAAATGTTAATTGATGAAAGAGCATCTCAATAAGCGTAAAAGTGATTGATGTACGAGGACCATCTCGAAAAGCATGAAATAAAACTCATAACTATGAGATACATAAGGTAAAATATATCCAAGACATGTAAGTTAAGTAAAACTCGACCTACATAGGAAGAAACCTGTTATAATGGGAGACACAAGACAAAATGTACCCAAGATGTATGACAGTAAAACTCGACTTGCATAAGAAGAAACTCGCAACGATAAAAGACACAAGATAAAATATGTCTGAGGTATATGAGTCGACAAAACCCAACCCATATAAGAATAAACCTGTCATGACATAATGCATAAGATAAAATATGCCCAAAGCACGTGAGTCAAGAAAACCTATCCCACTTAAAAAGACCTCTGAAAGGAATATGTTAGACTAGCTCAAGAAAGTCCAACCCACTTAAAATAATGCTTGCTTGAGACATGAATGTCGAGAAAACCCAACCCCCTCAAGGCTAGCATGATGTGGAGAGGTTGTGGGCCGACCCCCTCTCCACCCGAGGTGGGTTGGTTGGGGCGTCGAACCCTTCTCTACTTGGGTAGACTAGTCAGGCATTGACCCCCTCCAACCAAGGTGGGCTAAATTGGGCACTAACCCCCTCTTTGTCTAAGTCAAGTAGGTTGGCCATCAACCTCTCCCTCTGACCAAGGTGGAGGAGTCAAGCATCAATCCCCTTTTAAATGGTGGTAGGTGGGTCGAGCATCGATCATGATGGAGGGGTCAAGCGTTGCCCCTTCTTTCGACCAAGGTGGATGCATCAAGCATTGGCCCTTCTTCGCCCTAGGTGGGTTGGTCGATTGCTAACCCCCTCTTCACCCTAGGCAAGTAGGTCGAGCATCGATCTCCACCTTTGTATAAGGTTAAGAGGTCGAGTGCCAGCCCCCTCTCTGCTCGAGGTGGGCTAATTAAGACACGTCGATCGTCTTACTACTCAAGGTGGGGAGGATAAGCTCCCAACTCTCCTTTTTGGGTGTGCTCGAGGTACATTGGTTGGACACCTTTGCTTCACCTCAAAGAATTGATCAAAGGGATCAGATGGGTCCTAAACATTATAGTTTAAAATTCTCACCAAAGAGCTCTCGAAACATGCCTAAGGAATATGAGAATAGGGGAATAAATGTCAAAGAGAATATTATCGACCAACTACTATTTGATATATGTCCTATACGTGACATCCACGTTGGAAGAAAGAGAAAAATTATTCCTCGCTAATTTGCCCATATGGACATGGGCTATCTCTGCAATTGTCATCTATATGGAAAAGAGATCAAATTAAGATAGTTAAAGATAGTTAAAAGCTATCTTTGAAGAATATTTCATAGAATATATCATCCCATTATTATTAGGTATAAAATCTTACTTTTAACATAGTCAATGGTTCACTTTGTATCATTGACAACTACACTTATTTACTTGGGGTTACTAGTTTAGATGTTGGAGTGATCAATTTAGAAAATCTCTCTCAACTTCAATCTCTATATAGATGACACAACAAACAACCTTCTCGAGAGCTTGGTACTTTCACATCTAAGAATTTATTTGGGAGCTTAATATTTTTACCTTAAAGGCATCTTAAATAATTTTACGGATGCGAGTCTAAACCATATTGGGTTGACTTGAATATCAACGATGTCTTCTCATAATACATAATCGAGAGAAGTTAGATAATCTATGCCTTATTCTTTTACACGTAGCAAAACTCCCAAGAAAATATTTTGTTTTATTTCTTTATCACCTATTATATGTACCAACATATATAATGTAAAGTTTCCATGCACTATTACCCGTTCGAGAAACATATATAAACATAAATAGACAAACAAGTAAATGAAATATTTATTATACGTATTTAAATTTGTATTCCTCTCTCAATTGCGTCGATTACATGACCAAGCGTACGTGGCATGGTAGAGTGGCCCCCACCTCGCCCTTTGACCTGTCCTCTCTGACGCCCTATTTCGTCACTCACTACACGTACGCCTACGCCCACCCACTGCCACACCCACATATTTTAAAGGCTCCTCTCACTACGCTAACGCTTCGTTCTCCGCCTAAAAGTTTGACCCGAGCTTGTTTGACCAATATCAGAACACCGTGCGAAGCATGACACAGGAAACTCTAATTACAACGAGCAAAGTAGCGTCGCTGTCGCCAAAATGAGGACGGCTGACATCATGTTTGGCTTCAAATGAGTATCCAAGTCCTGTTCCTTGCATAATAATAGACAATAGATCCAGTTCGCCCTCCCTGCTAACTCAGATGAAAGCTCCTAAACGAGATGAGAACAAAATAAAGGCGGAGAGGAGGAGAAGGGCAGACCCAGAGCTCGCCGTCGAGATCTTCGCTTCAATCCCTCATCGTCGCCCTTAGATCTCCGACTCGGTCGCCTCCGACGCGCTACGCGTTCAATTCCGGTTCCCCCTGCGGTCTTCTCGCGAGGAATGGTGGAGGATTCCGACTTCTCGAGAGGTCATAATCTCTAGGGTTCTTCCGCTGGAGCTGTGGATGGTTTCGCAGGTGCCGTTGCCTTAGGAGGAGCGCGGATCTTTCGTTGGGGAAATGGCAGCGGTGGAGCGGGAGCTGATGTTGCGTGGGTCCATCTGGTTCCTGCTGGTGTTCAATCCCTTCTCTTGGGTTCGTGGCAATATGGAAGGTAAGCGGTGCTCTTTCCTTGGACTCTCGTGCGGGTTTGGATGCTTGGCAATTTTGGAGCTTTCAGAGATCTAACAGTTTTGTGCTGCGTGAGTTCGTGGTTGAGTGATTTGTATGTGTAGGAAAAAAGTCATAAAATTCTATAAGATCTTCCTTCCTTCCGTCGTCCGTTTTCTCGTGCAAGTTCATCTGATGGAGAAATAGTGAATGATTCCCTTGTGTATCAGCGTCTACCGGATTTGGAAAGGGACCGCTGGCATGGTTGGAAGTCCAAACTTCGCAGATATTTTTGTCCATTTGGATACTTCCATTTTTTTGGGTTTGGACTTGGTGGAGTTAGGAGAAACAATTGGTTATTGTAGTTGTAAATTAAGGATTATTTTCTTGCTTTATAGAGTGCAATCAATTGCTCATGAAGGCAAAGGAACAAATATAATAGTGGTTTGGTAGTTATTTTGAAAATTTTCTTTTTTATTTCTTGCTAGTGATTTTGATCAATTTCCAAGTTTTCAGTTTGTAGGTCATCCTCTGGTTGAGGTTAACGTACCTGATTCGTAAATGGTAGACGCTTCACCTGTGTGGCACGTTCTGCTGTTTTTAGAAGGGTTGTGACATAGTTGGTTGAATAATCAATATCCTAAATTGTCAGGTCCTTTTTGTCCACTTGGATTCTTTTTTTTCTTAGCATTAACTTCTAGAGTTAGGATTTTATGACTGTGATTGTATCTCAAGTGTTAGTTTCTTTTTTTTGGGTTATGAGATCAACTTTCCAGTCAAATCAATATAAAAAAGTTTGGAAGACATTGAATTGTTGTTTTGAGAGGAAGCTTCTTTCATGATAGTAATTTTTCATTTCTCTTCAATTTCTGATTTGTAAGGGAAAAATATATGTAATATGTGTGATAATCAATATTAGAAAACAGTGTTGTATCTTGAACTGTCCATTTTGTCTTTCAAAAACAGTAGTGTGATGATCCATTTTCCTATCTGTACTTTGTAACCTTCAGGGGTATTAAGTTATAATCTTATTAACTTGGCCTAATGGACCATCTAGCTTGGACCAAAATTGGAATCATTGAGTTGTGCCTAGGTTTTCAGTTGTGTTATGTCCCTATTTGTCAATTTATTGGATATCACTTGAAACATAGATAGCTGGTTCTTTGTTATAGTTGATGTTCGCTCAGTTGACAATGTATGTTAGAGGAGCTGATGCTAAAAAAAAGTAACCACAATAAGATATGGGAGTAGTTTCAGGAAATTTGGTTTTTAGTCCTGCTTGCTAAAGCCATGTTACAAGTTGTTTGATATTGATGCATAGTATATCTAAGAAAAGCGCATCAAACAGAAAAGATACTTTTTACTTTTTATGAGAAAACATAGAGGAGAAAGGGGTTAGGTATATGAGATGTTGAATTATCAATTTAACACAATGAGGTATAGCAGGATAAGGTTTCATTATTATCTATAGACTTGTGATGAAGTTTACAAGTTTTAATGCAGATCTTGTTATGGTATGCAGATTTTGAGGTTTAATTTCCCTTTGCCCTTTGATAAGCTGATGACTTGAATAGCCTAGTGGTAGGTTACAATGTGGGAAAAAATGCATGATGCATTGAAGATTGATGTAGAATTCAAGAAAAGAAGTTTTAAATAAACTGAAAGAGAGATTTTAATTTTTATTTGTCATTGAATGGAAGAGCCAATAAACCATACGGCATGGAATTCAACCCAGTTTATAGCTGGTGCATGCTTCCTATGGTGGACAATTAAGCAGCTTTAACTTCAGACAGAGAAAAAGCTTTGAAACCAGAAGTTGCTAATTCTTGTATTAGGTTTTCTGTCTTGTTCTAGTTAAGCTTTTGCTAAACATCCAGTAAAACTGAACGAATGTGTTTGTTTTCTTGAAACAAACAACTGTGTCTTTATCCATGGTGGAAATTTCTTGTTGTGGATGTTTTTCTCATAATAAAAAGGACCGTTTTTTGGCTTATAGTGCCTCTTGTATGATCAGAAGGTGCATTCAATCTCTTTTATTTACTAGAAACTACTGAAAAGTGTAGGAACATCAGTAAAATCATTATCCACAAAAAATTCTTGGAAGAGTTGCGGATTTGTGGAATTCAATACTGCACATGTGATAATCTTTTAAAGTGGGAACACATGACCAATTTTGCATCTCTATGAAGTTTCTGTAGCTCAACGATGCATGTGTCATTCTGTGACTAATATTTTTCCTACTTGTTCTCATTCCACTCGACTTTGCTTGAAAAAACACAAGTATGCAAGTTTCTACTAGGTCCGTCTGTAACCGCTTCTTTACTCTCAAAAATACATATAATGGTTGTAGTTTTATCTATTATTTCTTGTCACATGCTCAAGTCTGGTGTCAACAGGTGATGCATTGCACAATCTCAAGACCAACTTAAATGATCCCAATAATGTGCTACAAAGCTGGGACCCAACTTTGGTAAATCCATGTACATGGTTCCATGTCACATGCAATAATGACAATAGTGTTATTAGAGTGTAAGTGTGCCCATCTCTCTTATCTTGGCATTTGTCAGTGTGGACTGTGGAACCCAATTAATTGACCATGTTCATTTTTCTATAGTGATCTTGGAAATGCTCAGCTGTCTGGTACTTTGGTCCCTCAACTAGGTCTTCTGAAAAATCTACAATATCTGTAAGTTCTGCATTAGGTTTTCAGCATCTTCTCAATTTTTTTATTGTAGATTGATGGAGCAGTTGAATGGATCAATGTCTTAAGCTCATTGTTCTACTTTATGAAATACTTCTTTTGCAAATAGTTTAAATGTTCTTGACATCCAATTTTGTCATATTTTTTGTTAGATAGCAAAATTTATTGATATAGGAATAACGAAATACGGGATGTATGATTACTCTGGTTCTTCTGTTGTGTTGTTTGCATAGAATGTACTTCCTTTCAACCTCACTTCTTAATAGCATAAATGTTTTTTAACTGTTGATCGACGGGCATACCCTAAACCAGTAGTCTTTCTTATGCGGCACTATTGTGCTGTATTTGAGGCATGTTCTAACTATGAATCATCTAGTGGTTCTAGTTACAATAATTTCAGGCTTAGATGCTTGTTTTGCAGTTTACTAAATTATCCTATATTTCCAATGACAGGGAACTTTACAGCAACAACATCAGTGGGACTATACCTAATGACCTTGGAAATCTGACGAACTTGGTCAGTTTGGATCTTTATCTAAACAGCTTCACTGGTGAAATTCCTGATTCACTGGGGAAGCTAACAAAGTTGCGATTCCTGTAAGATTTGTTCCACCCAGAATAAAGTTCCTCTTGTTTTGTATACATTTTATTCTCAATTTAAACTACCTGTAATTGTTCATCACGCTAACGTTTTGCTTTTCTATCATGTCTAGTTATTCCACTTATCTATTTAAATATGCTCATCTTAATGCTAGTAACTTTCTGGGTAGTTTCGTAAATGCCGATTATTCAAAAAGTATACCAGGCTTTACAATGTCCACCTTTTTTATAGAATAAATCTAAGATGTCAAAAATTTTAAGGAGTTGTTAAGATACTGAAGCGTCAAATAATTATGAAGTCACCCAGGAAGCTGAACCCCTATCCTTGAAGAAGAGTATCCTGCATGGTTTTATGAAGCTTCAGTAAATAATGCATTATATTGTTGATACCAAGTTTTTTCCCTACTAATTTGTATGTTTTTTCTTTTGAGGCAATTTTCTTTTACATTTGATTCTTTTGAAATTTTTGTTGAAGGATAGTCGGCTTAACAATAATAGTCTGTCGGGTCATATTCCTCAGTCCTTGACTAATATCACGGCACTCCAAGTTCTGTAAGTTGATTCAATCCTTGCCTATGTTATATAACAACTGTCTAAATTAATTTTAATGCCACTATCCAATGTTGACTTTGTTTTGTCAATAAATATACAGGGATTTGTCAAATAACAACCTGTCAGGAGAAGTCCCATCTACTGGGTCCTTCTCATTATTCACTCCAATCAGGTGCTCTTGAGTTTTGATAAAATTGTAAATAGCTTTGCTTATTAAATTGTCACTATTATTGCTGATTGTATGTTGTATTTATGCAGTTTTGCTAACAACCCTCTCTTATGTGGCCCGGGAACAACAACGGCTTGTCCTGGTGCTCCTCCCTTATCTCCACCACCTCCATTTGTTCCTCCAACACCACCCTCATCCCAAGGTAATTATGCCAGTAGTTTCTGCTCACTGAAGGTTACTTTAGTAATTTTCTGGTGACTTTAACTTCCATCATAGGCAAATTTGATGTGTTCCTTTGTTCTTCTCTGAGTGGTATACTACGGCAAAAACAGATTAAAACAGATTTCATTTAAATTCTGTTTTCCCACGTTTTTTTTTTTCATCCATCTAAAAAGGGGTTTGTTGGAAAGTTCTTGCTTCAGTCTGTGTGTAGAGGCTTCAAGATAGACATGATAAGGCCTGCAGCAGGACAAGGTTATTGATGCTGTGTTGCTTTGAAGCACATAGATTTTATCTTATGCTACTTAGTTTATAATATACTTCATCATGTGGAAATGCATGTTATTGGGACCACCCATTTGTCTGGAAGTAGGCTGGTAGCTTTTGACAAGATACAACTTGCAGGATGCTTTTCAGATTATGTACTCTTAGATGCTTTATTCCATGGGTGTTAGACAGTGAATAGATTATAGGTTTTCTCATGTATGAAATATAAAGGTTGTTAAATGTCATTTTACAGGAAGTAGTGCGTCTAGCACCGGAGCAATAGCTGGGGGAGTTGCTGCAGGAGCTGCTTTGCTTTTTGCTGCCCCTGCTATAATGTTTGCATGGTGGCGGCGCCGTAAGCCACAAGAACATTTCTTTGATGTACCTGGTTAGTATCTAAGAACTAAATATACTCCTGTCGCTGCCATTGTGAAACTTAATATTCCATTATTGTGTGCAGCTGAAGAGGACCCAGAAGTTCATTTGGGTCAGCTTAAAAGATTTTCTCTCCGAGAATTACAAGTTGCAACTGATAACTTTAGCAACAAGAACATTCTGGGAAGAGGAGGATTTGGGAAAGTATATAAAGGACGGCTTGCAGATGGTTCACTTGTTGCAGTAAAAAGGCTAAAAGAAGAACGGACTCCAGGTGGAGAACTTCAGTTCCAAACAGAAGTTGAGATGATTAGCATGGCTGTGCATCGAAACTTACTTAGGCTCCGTGGATTTTGTATGACACCTACTGAACGGTTACTTGTGTATCCTTATATGGCTAACGGAAGTGTTGCGTCACGCTTGAGAGGTATTTGTCAATCATTTATGACTTCACTTGCTTTTGGGAACTTCAAAGTTCAGCTACATCAATCATAATTCTAAAAATGCTTCGAGGAAGTTACTAGGGAACTACGTTCTTACGATATTTTATGTTTATTTGTAGAGCGTCCACCATCTGAGCCACCACTTGAATGGGCAACTAGACGAAAGATTGCATTGGGTTCTGCAAGAGGGCTGTCCTACTTGCACGATCATTGTGATCCTAAAATTATTCATCGTGATGTTAAAGCTGCAAATATATTATTGGATGAGGACTTTGAAGCTGTTGTTGGAGACTTCGGCTTGGCAAAATTAATGGACTACAAGGACACCCATGTTACAACTGCTGTCCGTGGAACCATCGGACATATAGCTCCAGAATACTTGTCAACTGGAAAATCCTCAGAGAAGACTGATGTTTTTGGCTATGGGATCATGCTTTTGGAACTGATTACAGGGCAAAGAGCATTTGACCTTGCTCGGCTTGCAAATGATGATGATGTTATGTTGCTTGACTGGGTAAGCCTCAAATCTTATTCCCATTAATAATCTATGATGTACATGCTAGTCAATTAAATTTTACAGTGCGTTTTAGTCTGGTACTTATTTTTAGAATAGACCTGTTTTAGGGCAGCTCTTTTTCTGGTGCTATTGGTTGCTTGGAAACTGGACATATGGATCATGTGCTCTTGTAGCCTCTAGCAACTAAGATAATAAGGTTAAGAGGATAGATGATGATTCTTGTCCATGTGTTGGATTTAGCAAGAGGCACCAATTTCTCGGCCATTGCATATATCAAAGTTATGCCGTAGATATATCTGGTGAGAATATTGGTCTGTCTTAGGCTGGTATATGATAACCTATTACATCTCAGAATGGGAATGTATAAATAACTTAATGACTATATAAAATGAAAAGGGAAATAGTACTTGGTATAAATTTGTCATCTAGCATTTTCTACGTGTACGGCATCAAGTACTTATATGCGTTGTTTTCAGGTAAAAGGATTGCTGAAAGAGAAGAAGCTGGAAATGTTGGTTGATCCGGATCTGCAGAATGATTATGTGGAGGTTGAAGTGGAATCTCTCATCCAAGTGGCATTGCTGTGCACGCAAGGCTCCCCAATGGAACGGCCAAAAATGTCAGAAGTGGTGAGGATGCTCGAAGGCGATGGTCTTGCTGAGAGATGGGAGGAATGGCAAAAGGTCGACGTGGTACGACAAGATGAGTTGGCCCCACGTCATCTCAACAATGATTGGATTTTAGACTCGACTGACAACCTTCGTCCAGAAGTATTATCAGGACCAAGATGACCGTATCATGAAATTGCTCCAAACCATCTGAAGATGATCTCTTTCTCTATGCATGTCATGTTTTTTGAACCCCATTAGACAATCCCAAGTGAGCTAAAAGTCATGTATATTAATCGATGGGGCCATTTTATCATTGTGTTATCAGTTAGTGTGTATAATTTTTTTTCTAGTAAGACCATGTCACAAATCCCTTCTTGCAAGTGGCAGATTGGATCCTCTGCTATGTTGACATGTACTAACACAAGCTTTCGTTGTCAATAAATTGAATGCTAGTCGAAGTTTGTTGTCTGTTAGACATTTTCATCGAAAAGTGTTATCGTGTTCATGAAACACAAATCATATCATAGCCTATATGATCGCTGATATCGCGTAGATTCCTTCATATATGTCATTATTGTTTATGTTCAGATTTTAGAACGCTCTTAATATTTTTTATTATTATCATGATAATGTTTTAAAGATTATTAATGTAAATTACAATTTCAATTAGGAGTTACTTATATTAGCTAACGGCGATCAACTATATATAATGGACATGCACGTATATAAATTTTTAGGTCTTATATTCTAAATTCAAATTCAAAAAGATATATACAAAAATCACTAATTTTTGGAGGAATACAATCAATCTGTAATTGCACTTATTCGCAACACAAACGGCAGGCTTTGGCGCGACCTTTTTTGCCTCCGAACCCGCTCTTCCTCTTTCCATTGAGATCTGAGGAGGACGATCGAGGGAGCTCCATTTCAATCCAGGAAAGGAAATCCCCCAAATTCCCACAAGAACGCTATCCTTCGCCTTCTCTCCATTGAGATCTGTTGTTTTTGTAAAGGGATGCGGGTACTGTCTTATCGGGTTTGGATGTGCATTTGTCGGTTCGGATGCTAGTGCCTTCATGGTTAATCGGATTCGGGTCGGGTCTGTGAGATTTTCTCGGAATCCGATCCGCTGCCATCCGGCCCCTTCCCTAAATCTAGAGAATTGTCGACCTAGAATCGCACGGCTTACTCAATTTTGTTTTCCTTCGTTGGGATCTCTGAGACCGACATCGAGGAGGCGAGGGAGAGAAGGGAGAAGGCAGAAGATGGATCCCGATTCCTTCCGTTCGACGTTGTCCACCCTCAACTTTGGCAATGTAATGGCCGCTGCCGCTAGAGACTACCAGAAGGTGCCCTTTTTCCCCTCGCCCTCCAGGATCCTCCCTTTTTTAGCCTTTCTGATGCTACCTCTGCGATATCAGTCTCGAGTCTGATTTGCAAGTCTGATCTGGTGTGGGCTGATGTTGGTTCGGAGAAAAAAAATCTCCTTCAGATTCTTTTTTTCATGTTAGAAATTACAACATATCACATGATTGGATGCGAATTTCTGTGAATTTTTTTTTGATAATGTTGGCTATTTCGATATGATCCGATTCATGCTTTAGTCAAAAGATGCGAACTTCCCTTCGTAGAAGGGCCAAATGAGATGCAAATGTTGTTGTTTGGCACTCTTGAGACCCCTATGACGGAAAGATTCCATTGTTCTGGATCCAAATCACAATATAAATTACTTGAACAAGACCGAAAGAGATGATTTTCCAGGAGTGACGCTTTTCAGTTTATAATCATTCTGCCTCTTTCTTCTTGTTATTTATTATGAATTTGTTATGTGTAATTTTGATGTATGAATCCAAAGAAGCCTATGCAAATAAACTGCAATATTTTGCTTGGTTAGAGCTGTTAGGTAGATACCCGGAGGAAGAGAAGATAATAATTATAGTATGTAGCTGATTCTTTGACATGCTATCAGCTCAATTAGTAGTATTAACCAATATTTATGCTGTTCACAACGTCTAGTCTCAAGTATATGTAGTAAGTCAGCTGCATATTTTCATACGCTTTATCGATGATGAACTTTAAGCAAGGGGCATTTGTATTTGTTGCATAGTGGAAAATGAAACATGTGAATCAGGTTTTATGATAAGATTATTTAATTTCAAAACTCTTTTTTGTAGGAAGTTTTAGCTAAAGAGAAGTCTCAGGCAACAGCATCTAACAATGAAGAAGTTGATCTTGATGAACTGATGGATGTAAGTGAAATGCTTCTTGGTCACTATCCTTAGCGAATTAGATTGTCTTATCAACTTATCCGTATGTATTAACTTCCTCATGTTGGTTTCAAATATCTGTTTTAGGATCCTGAGCTCGAAAAGTTGCATGCTGAAAGAATTGCTGCTCTTAAGGTAATTTTCCGGAACATTTCCTTTCTTCTGGACTTTATTATGTATGGTTCTCTTGTGACACAAGTTTAAAACCATATGTAATAGTTAAACAATTCTTTGAGCAGAAAGAGGTTGAAAAGAGAGAAGTCCTCAAAAGGCAAGGTCACGGAGAATATAGGGAGATAACCGAAGGGGAATTTCTTGGGGAAGTTACCGGCAGTGAAAGAGTAATTTGCCATTTTTACCACCGGGAATTTTACCGTTGCAAGTAATATATCTTATGAAGCTTATTTTGTACTTTTTTTCTTCATCCAGTCTTTAATAGGATCTTCTAAATGAACCCTGTAGGATAATGGATAAGCATTTGAAGGCCCTAGCACCAGTGCACCTAAATACAAAATTTGTCAAGCTGGATGCTGAAGTAAGCAAGCATAGCCTGTTTTGCACCTTTGATATGGGGACTAATTACTATCTGGTTCTCGGTGCAGAATGCTCCATTTTTTGTGACGAAATTGGCAGTTAAAACACTGCCTTGCGTTGTACTGTTCAGGTGAATCTTCATTAACATCTTAAAATTTCCTTCAAATCTTATTGCCTCTGGTTCATCAACCAGCAATTTCACTTGCATTATTTCTTGGATTTGTGATTCTGATTACATATTACTGTTACAACCTTTATATTACTGGTAACCTTGCTTTTCTTTTCTGTTACAGTTCAGTATAGCTTATACTGGATTTGAGAAAGCCAGATATATATTTTTTTTATATCTGTAGGCTGATCTAGCTACAAATTAACTGCAAATGCCCCATATTACTACCAGTTAAAATGAAGATTTTATCTGAAAAATAATCCATTTGATGGTAATTCTTCCAGAAACGGCATTGCCTTTGATAGGCTAGTTGGTTTTCAAGATCTTGGCGGCAAAGATGATTTCACCACCAGAGCTTTAGAAAATCTTTTGAAACGAAAAGGCAAGTACTCTCTTGTTGATATTTTTGCCCCATGTGCTCTACCCTAACACACATATTTCAGGAATCATCGATGAAAAGAAACAGGATGACGGTGAAGACGCTGACGATGGAGAAGACCATCACAAAAGTAGGAGCATTAGGTCCTCTAAAATGCAGGATTCTGATTCAGACTAATCAGAAGACTATACGAAGATTAATTTATATAGCTTTATGCATCTTTCAAGCACTGTGCTGTGTGAAATCTCTTTTTGTAAGGTCATGCCCAATCTATTTGTGTTCTCTCTTATAAGACAATTGAAAGGTTGAAGCTCCGGACTTTTCCACCATGTTTTTTACCAATACTTGAACACTTGGTATTATCCATCCCGGCAGCTAATATTCCTTTCATCTTGTTGTATCTACTTTATTGTTAAGATTTTGTACATTTACCGAGGAATGGAAGGCAAATCTTAGCAGTCTCAACTCGAGTAATGAAAATAACCTTTTTACACCTAGTCAATTCAGACTCTCGGAGAAGGTAGTCTCATGCATGCACTTGAGTTTTCTTGGTTTTTGCTGAGAAGAAGAATGGATATAGAAAACTAGTAATGGTGGAGTAAAATGCTGAGAAGCTTAAATTATCACGATTATTGTATAGGTAATTTTCTTTGTAAAATATACTTTTATATCAGCTCAAAATCTGTCTATATATTTAAGTGGAGATACATTCCTATTCCATGTTTTACATGAGAGTTTCATGAAGACACAATAAATGCATACATATATTTTTTTCCCAATTCTATATACTTATGATGATTCCTTAAAGTATAAATTATACGAACCGATAAATTTGAAAGGGTATATGGGTACAACCATTAGCTTCCACGCTTGTCATGGACAAATTAAATTTCAAAACTAACTAAGTCCGTGACATTAAAAAAAAAAAAAAAAAAAATTAGAGTTGAATAGCACAACTGAAATGTTATATTTTAATGACTCAAATCGTGATAGGGAAGAGAGGGGCAAAATTTTTGGTCTCTTGAGGTTGAATACCTCAGAGTCGATAGATGCTTCCCTGTCTGTCATTGACAAATCTTAGAACCAAAATACTATAATTATTTGGAGACTTAAATCATACAAATAATGTAACAAATATTCTTTTTCCCTATAACTACTCCTAATAAAACAAATAGATTAGATTTCGATCAGTAACCTCCAATCTCCAACCTAATCAATATGTTTGTGATCGTTTCACAGGATAAGACTTGATAGAGTTGGGAAGGAACAAAACTCTTCAACAGATCTCTCTCGTACTACTACTCCTCATCTCAAATCTTTATATATATCGTCCAATGCAGCCTCCCTCTCTCCCGTGTATTTACACATCCACCATCCCATCTCCCAACGCCACCCCATCGACACAGCAAACCTTCTTCCTCGTGCTAGCGGCAATGGCTGGGCCAGCCTACTTCCTCGCAGCATTGGCCGTCTGCTTCTCGATGGCAGCCGCCGTCGCCACTGCATCGAATACGCCCGGGCATAATCCTTGCTCGTTTGCGGAGTTACCCATCCAGTACTGCAAGCCGTTCCTGCAGAAAGGCAGACATTGTTCAAAACCTAGCCTTATTTGCTGTGCCCTCGTGTTCGACATCTTCATGGTCAATCCCTCGTGCCTCTGCGAGGCGATGAAGCCATCATTTCTGGGAGTCGCTGTCGATCCCGCTCGCGTCTCCCTCCTCCCCGAACTCTGCCACCTCCCGACGAATAACCTTCATTGCTTTGGTACGTCCTTTGCGTGCTGCTTGTGTTTGTTTGCTTGGGTTACTTGATGACGCATACCCTGCTTCTGTTCATGCAATGCAGCGCCGCCTCCGTCTTCTTCTCCAATCACTCATCCGCCCCCAGCAACCCCACCGTCGAGTTCCATCTCATCGCCACCGTCGAATCCACCATTGGGTTCAGTTGAAGCACCTTCGTCTAATGCGCCTCCAGCTTCGGTGGAAGCGCGTTCATCGAGTCCACCGTCAGGGCCGGTTGTAGAGCCACCGGCGAATGCACCGTCATCTTCGATTTCGGTGCCGCCGTCGAATCCACCATCTTCTTCAATCGCAGCGCCGCCAACATCGGTAACAGCACCAGCTTCTGCGCCGGTCTCTAACTCTCATCCGCCAGCGACATCACCCGCTGCAGCCCCCTCGTCCTCTGGCGCGCTAAAGCTCGCAACGTCGCTTGTAGTATTCCTCGCCAATCTCGCATTCGCCACCGCCTTCTTTTGCAGCATTTGATCTTTCGCGTACTGTACTTAGTGCTCTTAGTTTGCTAGTTGAGGTGGTATCGCTCATGCTACCCTTAGATTCTCTTTATGCTCGAGACATTTAGATGATTTCATCCCACATAATAAATAGTTTAATTTAGTTCGATTTTTTTTTTCTTTGTATTTGATTACTCCAACGCCAAATAATTGATGTTGCTGTTCATGACGCTCCAATGCTACATCCTTCATCACGGCGAATAGCAGTCAATGTCTCCCTCTTACATCTTTCTAATCATAAATCGTATCTTGTTTGAAGAGTTCTGCTGTCCTCAGATTTCAAACGGAGAGGAAGGTTGATACATTTTTTATTTCACATTAAATACATTTTATATAAGCTGGGATTGAGCGGATGATGCTCCCATTTATTTCTATTTTGATACTGAACGTGCAGGGATAAGGAGACCATTGGCCAAATTCTATTGCTGTTATACCATTGTCGATCATCCATCTCAAGCTCCAGTGGTTTTCCACGTTCTTCAGCGTCCAATAAGCCCACCCAAATGTTGCTCGGCCATACACGTCCAGCTGAGCCTGCGCGAAACTTTGGTAGTCCTCCTTCGATGCCCCGCTCACCTCCCACTCTGCCACCCATTCCCCTGCAACCACAAGGTGATCAGCCCTCGATGATGGAGGTTTTGCGCAAATAAAGCTCTGACGGTGTCTAATTACCTACGAACACAAGAGGGCCATTTGCAGTGATGATGGCGTTCAATTCACTGGACCTGTTGTTGTTCACGTAGTCGATGTTTTGCTGCACGGTCAAGCCGTTGAAGATGTCGGAGAAGAGGTTGTAGTAGTGGACGTCGACGACCGAGCGGCTGAGGCCGCTTGCGAACTGGAGTAACTCGGTGTTGCTGCCCGAGAGACGGTTCGACATGATCACGTAGGCGCTGGTCGTGTGCTTGCGGACGGCGTCGTAGCCTGCTTGGTAGTAGTACTTCAGGGTGTCGAGGGGAACTCCGCTGGCTCGGGGCTCGTTGAGCAGCTCCACCGCAAGAAGGCTTCGTCTTTGGGCGTACCTGCGAAGGAAAGGGAGGTGGATCAGTTCATGTTGATGCTTAATCTTACAGTTGACCGATCGACAAGAGGAAGGCACCACAACCTGGCGGCGAGGAACTCGATCACGGCCACTGTTCGATCGATGGTGGAGTCGGTCGTGCCCCAGTCGATCGATCCGTCTCTTGATGCACTGTGCTCGTACCCGTTCTGCGACCCCGGTGCAGCGTGCAAGTCGATTATGACCTTCACATTGTATTTACTGTTGCATCCAAGCAAGGATTGTTAGAGGTTTGACTTCCAGTTTCTGCGACCGACAAGGTCAACTGAACTGCAGCCTCATCCGGCACAGATTCAAAGGCATTGACCGAAGAAGTTTCTTACTCTGCCCAGGTGAAGGCGTTGTCCAAAGCTCGAAGTGACCCTCCAACGAAAGGCGATGGAGGGCTGGGGTCACTGGCGATCCACCACCCGACTGGAATCCTCACCGCATTCAACTCGGTCCCCGATATGAACTTGAAATCATCCTCGGTTATGAAGGTGTTCCAGTGCTCCTGCCACCATTCAAACGGAATCGTTAGTCAACCCTTGGATAAGAGTTAAGAAGATATCCTGGTCAAAAGTCAACTTTAATGTAAAAGATGGCCAGCTTTATGGAGGAAGGCATCCTAAGCAAGAAAAGGTCTTAATCATCTTAAGCATTTTGCCGACAATTACAGTAATGATCAATAATCATGGAAGATGAACATAAACAGATCTGCTCATGGAGCTCTGGAGATTTCTTACTGTCATCACTGCTGCGGCCTCTGTTCCGTAACCATTGGTGACCTGGAACTCCCCTTGCAGCATCCCAAAATTCGTCATCAGGAAGACGGATGGATCGTCGTCTCCCCAGCTGGTGCTTTCAGGGTAATCCGCCGTCACCAACACATCGCTCTTCGCCTACCAAAACAGAGAGATGTTCGTGTTGAGAACAAGAAAGAGTTTTGTAGGAGCAGCAAGACTTGTAGCTGTTTCAAGCACCTGCAAGAAGAATCCGTTGGTTGATTTGATTCGAACACGGCTGGAGTCATTGGCATTTACGATCTCGAACGTCTCCGATTCACCTGGTGAGGTCGAGACGGCCACTACATCTACGCCATTTCCTTGGTCGCTGAGGCCCACGAACCGTCCATTCAAGACCCGAAACTGGAAGGTGGACTCTGTGATCCTCCACAGCTGGTTCAGAAGCAGTCAAGCTCTGATGAAACGAGAAGTTGCTGTTCATCAATGGGAAGAGATCAAGAAACGAGACTCACTTTGAAGGTCTCCCAGCCCGAAGCATTTGATTGGTTGGCGACGATGATCGTTCCGCCACCGCCCTCCGCGCTCAAGTACATCTTCTGCGTCACTGACTTGAATTGGAGCTGAGTACCATCCTAAGTCACAAGAGACAGCAGCAAGTGACTCAAAGTCAACAGGGGGAAGACCAAGTGATTCTATCATCTTTCTCTACTAATCTAATCATGAAAGCCAGCAAATTTCAACAACAATGGCCAAAAGATGTTTTCTTCTATTTTCTAATGAAATTGATGGCGATGGTGATCACAAATCCATTAGGAGACAGCAGTAAGGACATAAGAGAGCAACGGAAAACAAAAACGAAGAGCCATGACCAAAGAATGGTTGTTGTTCTTGTTGTTGTTGTTACCAAGAAATTCTTGTTGGGAATGCCATCAAAGAGGGAGGGCTCGATCCAGCCCTCAGTGACAAGCCATCCTCCGAGGTTGACAGCCTTGAATGTGCTAGAAGGGGTGGATCCGGCAGCCAAGGCAAGAACAGGAAGACATGAGAGCAGGGAAAGGAATGGAAGCCATTTGCAGAGGTGGTGGCTTGCCATGGCTAAGCTATGACAGATTCTATGGCAAAAGTTAAGCTCGTGGGAAGAGACAGTTATAGAGATTTTGCAGCTTGAAAGGTGGTAAAATGCTTCTAGATTGGATCGACATTTTCTGCAGTGATGTTGCCTAGCATCAACAGGCAGCATAATTAGCAGATTACACTGCACACCATGTATAATATAGTCTTCTGGTACAGACAGGTGGTTGGTATGAAAAGAATGCTTTTGATGGTATTACAATGTAGTAATTACCGTAGAAATGATGACCAAAAAGGAAAGTTTGCAGGAAGAACT